AAAAAAAAGGATGTTCTGGAAAGTCCTCAAAACCTCCCCTTTTCCTTGAGAAAACTTGGCTTTGAAAACTTGGCTTCCCTGCATGGGCTTTTTTTTGGCTGGGAACTATGGCCATTTTACTAAAGACTTGACATTTTAAGTTCTCAGCTTCAGGAATGGTTGGTGAAAATATTGCCACTCAAACTTCTACTGTTGAGGGTATTCAGAAAACCCAGGTAACTTAGCAGAAACCCTTCTTTTGTGACATGCGTCTATTTTTCCCTTTTACGAATATTTCTCAAGCCTGTTGAAGTGTAAGAGTCACCTGGGGTGAAATTAAAACCACAAAAGGGAAGAGCTGGGGAATCCTTGTTTCACAAATGTCCCACGTGATTCTCAGGTAAAGTGTGGACACCTGTAGTAGGTGATCATGAAGTTCACCTGTGTCCATGGCGCTGCGGCTCCTTATCATTTGCTTCTGTGTGGGGAGGGGCTTCGATCCATCCTGACTTTGCAAAGGTACCTGCTTTCCTGCTAGCAAGATTTCTAAAAGGCTCAGCAGACGCTCTGTTCACCAGACCTCTGATTTTTATAGAAAATCTGCAGAAAGGAATGAAAGCAACAGGTATGTGGCTTTTCTGCTTACGCTCTGGATTGACGTAGTGGAAAATGCTCTAATCTGGGCCTGAGTTTGATACGTGTTGGTGGTTGAGCAGTAGTTATTTGTCTGTTCTCTTCGGAGCTAGGGTGCCTATGGCTGTGGGCAAAATCTTTGTTGATGATGTTAACGACGAGCTTAAAACCCAACTCCTTCCTGCGTGGGAAGACCAGTTCCTTGTGTGCAATGTGTAAGTATAGCGTTCGTATTGAAGGATTACAATATATTCACTTAGCAAGTTAAAGCAGCTTTTTTTTTTTTTTTAGCTCAAGTAGCCCGATTTTTATCACACGCCCTGACCGTTTCTTCTTTAATTCCAAAGTTTTTGACTTTTATTTTGCTTAACTGTTCTGAGTTTCCCATGGTAAAGAGGGAAAGGGAGTGTGGTCAGAATTACATGACTTGTAGCAATGAATAGTTCTCTGTCTTCCGCTCTGACCTCTGGCTGGTACAGTGAACCGCAGGGCACATCTACGAAGCAGAAATCTCAAGGTGGTGTTTTTTTTTTTTTTTTCTCCCTCATAAATGACTATACTACAGCAAACCCTCAAGGCCACAGCCTCCTGGGCTGTCTCTGGCACATAGTAGGCACTCTGGAGATTTACAGGCTTTTAAAAAGCTTTCTTTTCTTGTGTCCATTGCTAAAAACTAGTTAGGTGGCATTTTCTTAGAAAGTTCTGGACAGAAAGCTCACCCGGTCTTTACTCCCCAAGGCTCATGGCTCTCTTAAAAGTACCTTCTGATTCTGATTTCTTAAGAGGTAGGTTCACTAGCATTGGGAAGCCACTGTTGAATGTGTGAACACAGCTTTCAAAGACGAGAGCAGAGTTTGTTGTTTTTCTGTGGGAAACCATGAAAGCCCACTGGTCATTGATCTCCTTTGCTCCTGTTAGCATGACTGATACGTGTATTATGGTTCTCTTTGGGAACGCGTTTGTAGAGGAACTGCCGCTTATAATTGTCCTACATCTTATTTAATAAAAGGATGCGAAACCCTCCGGTGTTTCTAGGAAGGGAATACTATAATGTTTTTGTATCTTTGTGATCTCCTGCCTCTAGTCTGAAACTCCAGACCAGTTTCCACCATTGTCCTTTCCGACTCTTCAGAAAGGTTGTGACTAACTTAAAAAAAAAAAAAAAATTAAGCCTGTTAAAGAGTGTGACCCTCAAATGTGCACTGAGCAAGTTGCCGGAGCCTTCTCCGCGTTTTTCCTATTTTTTTCCCCCAACTGCCTTTTATAATAACCTCACTTCGTTGTTTATGGCAATACATCTAGGCTTTCCTTTCTGAAAAAGTTGTTTCTTTTGGCCGCTTTTTTGGAGTGCCGAGAGAATAAAAACCAGAGGCCTTATTGTCTGTGACTTCGCAAAACAGAGCCACCACCAGGTGGTAGGTTCTGAGGCTTATTAATCAGGATAAGGAAAAACTTGCTAACAGTGACCGTGATCCCAGGCTGGCCTGTCTCCTCTGCTGGTAAACAGTGCCCTCACCCCAGCTGTCGATACAGAGACTGGGCACCGGTAAAGGGGGATTCTGAAACAAGAAACCAGTTGGATGCCATCTCTGAAGCTCCCCCAATGCCAGAATTCCACAGTATTCCTTGAACTTGAATGCCAGGTTGGTCTACGTAAATAATTTTCTGGACCAAGTCTCTGCTGCATTAACAAGTAATACAGGGGCGTCTGGGTGGCTCAGTCGGTTAAGTGTCTGACTCTTGGTTACGGCTCACATCATAATCTCAAGGTTTGTGAGTTCAACCCCCCCCATCAGACTCTGTGCTGACAGCGCAGAGCCTGCTTGGGATTCTCTCCCCTGCCCTCTCTGCCCCTCCCCAGCTTGTGCACGTGCTCACTCTCCCTCTCTCTCTCGCAACATAAACTTTAAAACCGATATTAAAAAAAATGCTATATTTACATCTAACTGATAATCCAGAGGAGTGAAAAAATAAATGCTTTGAGAAAAAACTTAATCCTTTATCCATTTCAACACCTATTATCTTGATAATGACCACATTGATGCTGCTGGGTGGTTATTTTCCTATCTGGCTTAAGTGGAAAAGCACGAAACAAAGCATTTAGAGATGCTTAGAGATTGAGAGATTTCGAGTATTTAGAGATTTACAGTAAAAATGTGTTAAAAGGCTGGGCCATCTCTTGGTCAAACAGACCAGTCAAGTTGTTTGGCATAATCTTCACCTGAAGCATGTTTGATATTGGGCAAAGTGAACAACCCATCCTCATAACATAGCAATTCCATATGAATTGGAGTATGTATCCAGAACCCTCCATTCCCTGCGGACGCTAAACACAGGGAGGGCCCTCCAGGAGGAGGTGCTCCCTGAGGCTCAACTGGTTGGAGAGGACAGCGGTGGCTCCCGTCTCAGTGCTGTCCCTCTCTTGCCTATTCCTAGCTGCAGGGCTTTGGATGAATTCTTCCCCCTTCCTTGGTTCTCCCATCTCTGCAGGGGAGTAACGACGCCCATCTTGCAGGGCTGTGTGAGGCTGGGGGAGCACGCCTTCTGTGGGGTACGTATTCCTCGAACCAGGTATATGTTTCAGGTGGTTTTGTGTGTTTAACGGGACTTCTTATTCGGTTGCTAGATTCTTCTGGAAAAAGGAAGGAATCGATTGGGTGCCTTTGGGAAACTATCTCAGATTTTTTAACCAGGAGAATCTGAACTTAGGTAGGTCTCTAGTGATCTGAACGCTTTGACACAGCCTTCCCCCGGCTTCTAGGGAGACGTTACTCATGAC